ATAGATAGATAGATAGATAGATAGATAGATAGATAGATAGATAGATAGATAGAATATTCAGTTTATTAACCAATCTGCCAATTTGATCTGTTGGATCAATTCAGCAGCTCCAATCCCACCTGCAAACTCTTTTTTTGGGACTTAGTTTATGGAGACAACCTTCTATGTTGCAAGAGGGCTACCCACAATCAAAACTGCCAACCTCTAATTCATTAAAAGCACTTAAAAGAAAATTATAAAGCCCCGAATTGATTTTTTAAATTATTCTAATTACCAAGCAATTAAAATAACTAAATTAAAATAATATATCAAATGAAAGGCTCTCCTTAATGGCTCTCCCCCAATATTCTTCTCTAAGTTCTTTTACACACTGTCTTTTTTTTTTTAATTGCAATATTTATTTGGGGGGCAGGGGTGTTATTTAATATATACTACCTGGAATCATGATTATGGGTGTTGGGGGCCTATATAAAACTTCTAACCTCCCTCAAACAAACACATTAATTAAAATGTGATTGCTAGCTGATGCTTCGGTGTGGAACAAGCAAACCCAGCCAACTAGGGTTGGACAAACAGAAGGGACATTTGTGCTGTTCGCTATGTGTGTTAGACTAATATTAGATGGCGACCTTTCAAAACTGGAGACGCTGGACTGAAATGTAATTCTGTGGTATAAAAATGGACAATCCTCTGAATAGAAAGAAATTGCTCCTTGTTAACGCAGCACATCTAAATGCAGAATTTTAGCTCAATTGTTTGAAAAAAAACCTATTATGGAAGCACAAGTTATGGTCCCCTTTGGTAAGCACAGAGGCACTGGTTAGCATCACTCTTTAACATCTGTTAAATCTATGTAACCTGACAACCATGATCAACTCTAGCATTTTAATCTTCGGCCTGCAGCTCTTGAAAACAGAAGTGCATCGTTACACCAGGATCAATGTAGAATGGCTCATACTCCCGGATGTTTTGCTAAAAAATACAGATGGTTTGGACAGAGAAGCTTAACTTTAAATCGTGAGTTATTACAGCCTAGTTTCACCAGGTGTTTTCTACAGATGTTGGAGATCAACGCCTGGAATGGTTATGCTGTTGGAAGTGATGGGAACTGAAGTTCAACATATCCTGAAGGATAAGGCCAACTCTTCCTTTGGTCCTGTACTTTTGGATCTACATGGTGAATGCTGCTTCAAAAAAGGCAGTGCTATAGCTTGTAAGTCCCTTCTGGAACAGCTATGGTTTTACAAGCTCCCACAAGGACCTTCCATTCTCTGGGGCAAGATGTTCCAGAAGTGAGCAAGCCCCACAGAAAATGCCCACTTTGAGGCCTTCTCATCTTGCACCGGTTGATAAGTGGGGACCTTCAATAGGGTGTAGAGAGAAAGAAAGACGACCTTGGTGGAGATATGCAAGCTCCATTACCAAAGGAATGAGGGAAGGTCATATCTTGTCCACAACTGGCATATAGTGTTCATAAGCAACTCAGACAGATTGATTTGATTATGTGCCATTAAGTTGCTTTTGAGTCCTAGCGACCACATAGATAGATGTTCTCCATGATGATCTATCCCTATTCCAGAGTTGATTCTAGGAAGAGTGACCATGTCCAGGGATTTTCAAGAGTTAAATTATGGGAATGGAGAACAAGCATTCAAGGGTGAGAAAATAAACATGGACCGAACACATAGTATCCAGGACTGACCGAGCCGACGAAGCAGTGGTCTGACTCCCCGTTCTCGAACAGAATGATGTCCTTCACAAAGACGGCGATTGCTCGCATGATGAAGGACATGAACAAGTGCATGTGGATGTAATTCCGGGTGCAGTGCAATTTCCTAGGAAGAAGAAAGAGGGAGAAGTCTTTGGAGAGGTTTCAAGAGAGACAGAAGAAGACCCGGCCCAACTGCACCAAGGAGGAAGAGCTAGGCGGGTTGAGTTACGGGTCCGGGCAAAGTCGCGCAGACCTTGAAAGCTGGAAAGCAACCTTTGCTTCTGTTAGGGCACGGTGGGATTGTTACATTGGCGAGGGAGGCCGAAGGAGCCTTAACACAGAATTCTTGGCGCTTGGCAAAGCTGGAATTCCTGGAATTGTTTGGGAAGCCAGGGTGTAAATGTAGAATCAATCAGATGCTAGTTTTTTAACTATGAAGTACGGGACTTCAGTGACAGCCCTGGGGATCCTTGTTCATTTTTTCTGAATTTGCTTTTTCTTTCTTGCAGATGTTTCATCACCAGGCTAGGCCAACTTCACAGAACGTCAGGAACCCAACAATTCAGTCCCGAGCTACATAGGGTCTCCGCTATGGCAACGTGTGTTTCTTGCTAATTTTGATAAGGGCTCCAGAAACCTCTCATAAAGACACCCCAAAAGCATACAGATTGGGGTTTTGTGTGTAATTTAATTGTTCTTGCACTGGTGATGTTATTTACCTTGGTAACGAAACACCTTCAGGAAGAGAAGCAAGGTCAGAACATCCAAAACCCAACCGTGCTTGAGTATGGTGTAATTTAATGTTGGGTTTGGGGAGGTGCTGTTGTGTTTTGATGAGACAGATCATACAGCATTTTGGAGCTAGCTGGAAAGCAGGAAGGAACATGAATTTGCACATGATGGACCAATTTTCTGCAGCAACTTGCAGGAGGACAGAATTTGCATCATCACACAAACGGTGACAAGGACACTTCCCCAAAGTGAAGTAATTGGCACAATGACATCATTGTAAGAATGATGTCATTTGCTGCAATCTTTGGGGTTTAACAGACTTTCTAATTTGTCTGTTAAATGAAATTGCACAGCACCTACATGGTGTACATTTTATTATTAATTTTTCCTCCTGTTTCCTTCTCCCTAAAGCCCTTCAAGCGGGTTAGATGGAGGGGAAAGGATTCAGACTATGTCCAGGAGGCTTCCAAGTTTGAAATGGCATTTAATGACTGTTACCTTCTGTTGGAATTCACACCAGACACTAGATGAGGGTAAGATGAGGTTGGATCCTTCAGGGATCAACAGGCTGCACTCTGGTTTGCTGCATCCTTCCATATAGAGCAGTGTTTCTCAACCTTAGCAGTTTTAAGATATGTGGACTTTAATGCTCAGAATTTCCCAGCCAGCACATGTGGACTTCAGCTCCCAGAATTCCCCAGCCAGCATGCATGGATTTTGACTCCCAGAATTTCTTAGCTAGCATGTGAGGGCTTCGACTCCCAGAATTCCTTAGCCAGCATGCATGGATTTCGATTCCCAGAATTCCCCAGCCAACATGGATGGATTTCGACTCCCAAATTTCCTAGCCAGCATGCATGGATTTCAACACCCAGAATTCCCTGAATTTTGGGAGTCAAAGTCCACGCATCTTAAAGTTGCCAAGGCTGAGAAGCACTGATACAGAGAACTGTACTTGGGGGTGAGAACACCCCACATCTCCCCCCACCCACACTTAAGTTTACTCCAATTACCTAAAAAAGCACAGAACCATCATGGCCACCGTCAGAGCGACAAGAGACAAACTGTGTCCAATTGTATATCCAGTTTTCACTGTGCCGTAGAAGACAGTCTGAGAAGAGAGAGTAGAACAAAGTTGGTCATTTCCATGCTTCGACTGGCCAAAAGTTCCATCGGGATTTACAAATAGAATTAAATGGACCGACGAGCCATGGCAGGGATCCCTCTATCAATGTCTTCCCAGTTACAATGGAGCCAGCATCTGCCCTGAAATCAAATCTCTGGTTTGAAGAAACTTTTGCTTCGACATCTGTATGCATGTTGGTTTCTACATGACCCAGAATGTCACAGATGTGAAGCTCACTGCTGCTCAGGGCAGTTTCCTATATTTATAATGGTGCGCTAAACACCAACGCTGTGGGGTATTCCCAACGGTTTCAAATTAATTCTATGAAAGACTGAAAGGTTTCTGAAGGAGTCAGCAGTAGCCTTCAGATTTCTCCTGGAGAAAACGCAGTTTTGACTGTGGCAGAAGATTCATAGCCTGTCAGTGCTCAATGTTCAAGGGACTTGAAGGGCAAACATTAATCAGTGATGTCCATAAGGGTGGGGGCCCAAAAGCAAGTTGGTGGTTGCGGCATTGTGATCAAACCCCCACCCATTTGTATCTAAGAGCCAGGCCATCATATTAAACCAGCATCAATGGGCATCAATGTTATGTGAAGGCATCAGTCATGACTTCTTAGAACAGATTAAGAGGAGGGTGACCAGGATAATATCCAAGCTGGAGGATCTGTCCTATAAGGACACTTTGAAGGAACTGGGATGTTCAGTATGGAGAAAAGTCTTAGGGGAGACATGAGAGTTGTGTTCAAGTGCATAAAACGAAACTGCCAGAAGTTGGACAAGAACTCTTTTCCACGGCCACAAAGACTAGGACCAGAAAGAATGGGTATAAACCGCAGCTACCTAGACTTTGATGCAATATCCTGACGGTAAGATCTGGACAACAGTGGAATTGTCCACCTATAGAGGCTGTGGGTTTTCCATCTCTGGAGGTTTTAAGAAGACTGGAAAGCCACTTCTCATTGATGTTTGAATTAGTTTTCCTGCACACTGCAGAGAGTTGGACTAGATGTCCCTTGGGGTCCACCAAGTCCATAATTTGATGCTTCTGTGTTTCTTAAAATGTTTGGGGGTTCAGAGCATTGTGTGAGCTTTGCCAGTGAGTTCAGAGGCGGATGACCCTGGAGTGGAAGTTGGGAGGGGTGCTAGGCATCTCCAAATAATGAATCATTGTCTGGAGGTATGGATGTCTTGCTGAGGCACCAACGTTCTCAAAGCAGCTTATAACATGCTTTAATTACAACAGGAAGGCCTCTTGCCTGTAGGGAAAGCACTGAATTAAACACTAATGGCTCCCTCCATGGTCTCACTCGAATGGAAGTGAAGCACTAGCAACTGAGAAATAGAAGGATAAGGATAAGGAAGGAGAGAGGGAGGAGGAAGAGAAGGAGAAGATAGATGAGAAGGAGAAGATAGGTGAGAAGAAGAAGATATTCAAGAAGGGATGGGAGACCACAAGAAAATCCCAAGAGTCTGTAGACTAGACTGGAATGTTTTTTTTTTCTAAAATTCCTTTGGAACAGCAAAACCCCTCCCTGAAATATGAATGGCTCCCCCCACCTCCTCGTCTTTAAATGAGCCTTAAAAACCTGGCTCTTCCCCCAAGCCTTGGGTTAGTGTGTGGCTGGGCCCGTGAAATTTGTGATGGGGTGCACATTCTTTTTCATTTGCTTCCTCTGGCCAAGGGCTGTTCTCTTGCCTCATAAGGACTGCTTTTAATGTGAAGCAGTCAAGAATCAGTCTGGAATCGGGCAGCCTAGAAATCTGAATGAATGAATGAATGAATGAATGAATGAATGAATGAATGAATGAATGGATGAATGAATGAATGAATGAATGAATGAATGAATGAATGAATCCATCCATCCATCCATCCATCCATCCATCCATCCATCCATCCACCCACCCACCCATCCATCCATCCATCCATCCATCCTAGGAGAAGACAGTTGCAGGCCACTTCTACCCATTGCCAAGAAAGCCACACAGATGTGTCCTTGAAGTACCAGAAACTGAGCCTTATTTGAAGTAGATCTCCATAATAATCCCAACCACAATAACAGCAGTGTGACCGTCATGCCCAGCTACGCCTCGCTCGCACCACTGCTGCTGCCACCCTTAAAATGCAAGCCCTTTCAGCTACTTCCTCATTTGGCTTCCTTCTTCTTGCTTCTCCCCCCGCCCGCCCCCCGCCCCCTGGGTTCCCTTTTTACTGACCTGTTCCTCGGAGACTGTGTTGTTGGAGTCATACCCGCAAGCCACGGGGTAGGGGGCAGGGTAAATATCTGACCAGCCATCTTTGGTGCAATTCCTGCTGACATTACCTAGATGGGCAACAAAGGCAGACAATGAAGAGGGCCCCCCCACAGGGCTGCATGCCAACCAAGGCTTGGGATGAATCTGCGTCCCACCCGGTGCCCAATCTGTGCAGCCCGCCCAACCCTCCACTCTTTTATTCTCCATGGCTTTAAAAGCCAGATGTTTCTGGTCTAACCTGTGCCACTTGCCGTTTGGTAGCAACTGTTTTGTAAAGGCAGAAGAACCACCCAACAGCGCAGCACGTCCCTGCTTCATGCCACATAACCACCAGATGCTGCCTGAAGCCGGCCTCTCGCCCAGTGCTGCCAAGCCAACAGGGTTCCTTCGATTTGCATTGTAGGTATTAAAATAATATGCCCAACAGCTGCACAGTTGCTTGAGACACAGCAGTGTTTCTCAAACTTGGCAACTTGAAGAAGTGTGGACTTCAACTCCCAGAATACCCCAGCCAGCATGTTTTAAGATGTGTGGACTTCAACTCCCAGAATTCCCCAGCCAGCTCAGTTTAAGACATGTGAACTTCAACTCCCAGAATTCCCCAGCCAGTCTGCTTCAAGACATGTGGACTTCATCTCCCAGAATTCCCCAGCCAGCATGCTTTCAGGTGTGTGAACTTCAACTCCCAGAATTCCCCAGCCAGTCTGCTTCAAGACATGTGGACTTCATCTCCCAGAATTCCCCAGCCAGCATGTTTTAAGATGTGTGGACTTCAACTCCCAGAATTCCCCAGCCAGCTTAGTTTAAGACATGTGAACTTCAACTCCCAGAATTCCCCAGCCAGTCTGCTTCAAGACATGTGGACTTCATCTCCCAGAATTCCC